ATGGTAACATTAAAATACCGCAATGTGCAGATCCGTCTATGTAGCCCACTTCATACGCCAGGGCTGTTTGGACAATGGGAATCCATATATAACATACTCGGTAGGCAAAATGAAATGTAAAAATTATTCCTAACCCCCCCTCCCCCCCTTGTCAACGTAAAGCTATCCAACTACTAAGTACACGCTGAGGATGGGCATGGCAGCTTTGAGGGAAAAAGGGGGGGGGGGGGGGGGGGGCAGAATGCACCTACATTTATGCATGAATTCTTCAATGATTATCCTGACAGTCTCTTATGGAGCCAACTGTCACCTGAAAATCTGTGAAGGCAATGAATTCCAATTAGGCCCATTGTTAATTATTATTAAGGCTATAAAACATCACCACAGTGTTTCGCAGTTATCGTTTACTAATGCTTTGTGTTTTCATAAAGAAATCACTATAGTAGTAATATGGTGACAACATGTCTTTCTGTGCTGTTACATAATTGTTTCCAACCACCCCCCACCCTCATTACTGGGAAAAAACTGAGCCGTCGCCTACCCAAAAGGCGCCTGATTTTTTCCGTTAGCACGCTTTAGTCCAGTGGTGCGGGGCCAACTCATTAGTCAAAAGAGCAAAAAAAACACCAAAAAAAAAAAAACACCAGCAGGGCGATTAAAATTTGTTTGAGAGCCAAATTCTTTTTCAAGAACCTGCCAAGAACCATGTTTTTGGGAGTCATAACCGTTTGTGGCCGGCTGACCGAGCAGCACTCAGATCGCTAAAGAGCCGCATGCGGCTCGCGAGTCGCGCTTTCCAGATCACTGTTATAGTCTAACTACTGCAAGCTGTATAAAAAATTAAATTTAAAAAAAAAAAAAGGGGTACTTTTAATCCAATGTGACATCTTTCGGTCCAGTTACCCAGTTGAGTATCTACTGTTTGTAGCTACAGATGGCGCTCAGTGACCTACATACGTGTTATATTTATTTTTATCCCACCCTTTGTTTTATTTTGGTATTCGCTATGTCCAAATGCACTTGTTAGAATATCACACACGGCGCCTGGTGAAAACCTAATATTGCACAGGCGCCGGAAAACAAATATTTTAGAACCACTGGCGTAGCCCAACGAAATATACGTCATGCGCGCGTTGAACTTTCGGTAGACTTAACACCGTACTGTAATTCTTCCACTATTGAGTATAGCAAGCCAGTTGATTTGTGAAAATACCCCTTGACAACATCTTGAGTCTAATGCCTACTACACATTGGCTGGTAGTTTACACCATTCGAAATAGAAATGTTATTTTTGGACTTTCAGAGTTTGGGGATGAATGTTGCAGAATTTTTTAAATAACGCACATACTTTCTGCCGAGGACCACCCCCCACCCCCACCCGAACTGTCATTACAAAAATTTGGCGGTGTTGAGTATATAAATTGAAATACTTAGACCGGCTCCATGCACACAATCTCTTAAATCAATACCACTCCTTTTATCTCTGATTGATTGCTAATGAAAAGTCCGACTGTGCAGTTTGCGTCTGATGGACCCTTATTTGAAGAACGCAACTCAGTCAATTTTGTCTGACATTCAAGATAGGATATCAGCG